AGGGAGGCAGGGGCTGCAGCTGCAGCTCCTGCTCGTGCTCTTGCCAATAATGCCGAAGGGAGGCAGGGGCTGCAGCTGCAGCTCCTGCTTGTGCTAATGCCAATAATGCCGCAGGGAGGCAGGGGCTGCAGCTGCAGCTCCTGCTCGAGCTGGCGTGGGAACAGGCCAGAAATAGCCTGTTCCRAAACCCAGTTTTCGTGCCTGAATCTTAGGGCAGGTCGAAACAAATGAGGGACTAAAAATAGCCCAGGSCCTAAGAATAGCCCTCCGTTTCAGGCTGGAAAAACTCTGGGTCTGAAAGACCCAGAAATAGGCTGAAACGGAGTAGGGCCTGCAGGCCCTCGTTTTTCAGTTTTCAGGCTGAAACGGAGTAGGGCCTGCAGGCCCTCGTTTTTCAGTTTTCAGGCTGAAACGACCGGGGCCTGTAGCTCCTAAGTTTTAGGCTTTAAGGCTGAATGTCCGGGACGGGTCCTACAGGGCCCGTGTGGCTACGCAGTCTGCCACATAAACCCCTCCGGCAGAACCCACACAAGATCACCCTCTCAAAAAGGCCGAGGCAATCAGAGTCGATTTGCCTACTACATGATGCACCAGTCCTCTTGTCAAAGGCTTTAGAATCATGTCTCGCAACTTCGTCTGACAGGCTAATGACTCCGAAAGACCGATCTCAGCCTGGCGAGAGATGAGAGAACGATAGGGAATCATGCCGGTGGTTAGGCAGACGGACATGTTTTAAGCAAGTGTAAGATCAGCCAAACACTTCTCCCAATCTCGCTGGTCCGCACAGGTGATAATCTGTAGCCGTCTGGTAAGGTCGCACAATCTGATCGTCAGTGTGACGGTGGTCTAGGGTTTAGGGTTTAGGGTTTAAAGTCTAGGGTTTTAAAGGTTTCAGTTTTGGTGAGATGGACTGGGTTTGAGAACTCGACCCCATTGCTCCACGAGCGCAGTCAAAAAGTCAGACACGGACCGAATGTCTCGATCCCACACAATAATGTCTTCATGGAATCTGTTCAGACAGATCCAACCCTGATGACGGACAGAGGTCGACTCCCTGCCGCTTTCACCCAAACAGAACGCCCGGTCATTTATTGCCGTATCTGGACTGAGAACTGCACCAAAGACGGATACAATGACCAGGCATTCTATTCGGGCAAAGACGGTAGCCGTGCAAGAACTGCGCATGCTTGGTCAGACAGTCGACCACTGTCAAAATCCCTACGCAGAAACAGCCCAATCACATCCATGGCGATCAAAACGGGAAGTCGAGTCCAAATCCGAAGTCATCATCGCAACTCCCCATATATGGGAGGCCAATTGCTGGGCTTGCACTGCTGTTGCACCTCACAAATACGGCAATACTCAGTGATGTGGGTCAATAATATAGCTATCCAACAAAACTGCCGGCAAATGTGAGCCACAGTCCAGTTAGCTCCCATGCGTCCTGCAAGGTGGGGATCATTCTTCTTGCGCAGTCAAATGTGCCACACAACAATCGCTGATTCCAAGAAAGACAAAGTAAGTCCTGACGGCATGAGCGTAGGAAGAACCCATCCTGCACGTGGGAATGCGATGCCTGAGGATTTAGTGCGGCACAAGTTGGCCTCCCCACAACGGTCCAGCAGTCCAGGAGCAGGCAACATCAAGCATTGGGAGTACGGGTTGGAAATGCGATGCCTCAGAGGTAGTAGTGATTTAAAAAAGGGAAAACAAACTAGAAAGAAACCAGAAAGGGAGAGAGGGATCTCCTTTCCGGGTCCGGACCATTTGTTTGCTCGTGTCCGTGACAGGCATCCCTGCATTTGGAGAGAGACCATGGGCCTCGCTCCACTACACAACACTCTACATGCATTGGACGGCTTCCGGACCACGTGCATTTGGAGGAGTCCTAGCCTCTTGGATGCATCGGGTGCAGCAACTGTCCAAATTCCTGTAGAGTGTTGTGCAGTGGAGCGAGGCCCCATGCCAATCTTTCCAGTCACACTGTTCCAATCCCGGCCGATGGTCATCCCCTTTTCCCACCATCTCTCCCTCGCAGAACGTGAGAGCATACATAGACCATGGGTGGCGAAGAGAGAAGCTCCGTACCAGGAGAAGCAGCAACCAACTTTGGGGTGTTGGACAGAAGCGAAGGGTCGAAATGGAGAAAAGGGCATGACAGGAACAGAGCCTGGCACCTCTTTCACTCCCACTCCTACAACAGGTCGACCGCTAGCGAATCCCATCCTATCACTTGCACCCTTCTCTTGCTCTTCTGTGAATAGGGCACCACGAAATAGTAATTAATAAGAGTGAGAGGTGGTACAGCAAAAATTTAGCGACTTCTTCCCTCTCCATTAGGTAGGCGTTCCTCGCATTTCGAAATCATCGACTGTATTACACAGCTCTTCACACCCTAAAACCCCCAGGAAATAGAAAAGAGGGAAAAAACAAAGGGAAAACGCAGAGGAAAAAAAAAAAAAAAAAAAAAAAAAACAGAACACGGCCTGTGACACATTTACCTTCTCTTTCATGTGTGGATCTTCTGCCATATTCTTGGCAGAGCCAGGCCTACTTGCTTATATTTTTGAAAGCTCACACCAACTTGCGCCATCCACCAGTGACTTCAAAAATGATATTCCTCACAAGTGCTTTTTACATGTTCACAGATGCGAAACAGCGATGTTTCACCAAGGTGCACACAGATAATGTACTTTCTCTCTGTTGAAAAAAGACTGAGGGGGGGGGGGGGTTGCCCCTAGTGTTATTATTGCATCCATCATGCCTTGTACTTTCTCTAGGTCTGTTTACGATTAGCCACATTCCAGGTACACAGATGGTGTACTTAGTTATTTTTTTCAAGAAGAGAAGATGAAGCTGGTAGTTCTTTTTTCAAGAAGAGGAGATGAAGTTGGACAAGATAAAGCCGTTGTAAGAGAAAGGGTTTTTTTTTTTTCCTGTTCAAGAAGAGACGACAAACTCGACAAGATATTCCTGATATTAAAAAAAAACGGATAATCTTTGGCATGAATGCGAGACAGAATGACAGTACAACTTGGGTGCTTTGCAGAAGTGAGAGAGAACCAACCGATCTTGTGCGCAGAGTAGGAACGGAACAATCACGCTGGCAAGATCCCACCAAGCCTGCAGCCGCTGAAACCACACCATAAACTTCATCTGTCCTCAGCAGAAAAGGTGCAAGGACACATCCAGGACACCGTCCATGTCGCATGTGCAAATCAGAGGTCAGCCATGCTGCAAAGCCAAAAGCCAAAAGCCAATCCTGGGGGTTAACAACAAGTATGAAGGAGAGCACAGTGTGACGACTCAGTCGAAAAAGCACAGACCAAGGGAATAGATGGATTAAGGACAATACACCAAACAAACTGGGTGGGAGCACAGAACCGACTCGCACAACATCAGGGAAGAGACATTCACAGAGGACTTCGGCACGGAAGTATGCACCCCGTTTCTTTCGCAGGTTGCAAGCGACCTATCGGGGTCGATGCCACGATGTCCATCGTCTCCCTCGGATTCTGATGTGGCAACCTAATTGTCCACTGCAGATTTGCTCAGTGGAGGCCAAGCAAGTGCAACATAACACTCAGTGACTTTGCCCGTCTCCACCGCATATGAGACACAGCTGCCCAGCGCTCATTGCAGGCAGCAGCATTGGAGAGACAGGCCTCCCTGGCTTTCTCCCTGCAGTTTGGTCAAAGTCCATGTGCACACGGTAAGTTGCGCTTTCAGCATCTGTGGTGTCGAACAAAAGTTACCCATGCACGAACCGGCATTCAACGAGGTTGTACTGGTTCACGCGCCTACATCCGGTGCTGACGCCAGTTGTCGTAATTCTATGATCACCATCTGTTCGAATTCAGTTTGCCCAAAGTCCACCCAAACACCGTAAGTTCTGTTTGCAGCATCTGCCGCATGGAACAAAAGCTGCCCATGAACTGGTGGCGTTCAATGAAGCCTGTGGGCCGCACCCAGATCCGGTTTTCAACGCCAGTTATTGGAAATATTTTTACGATCGCCAGCCGTTCGAATTCAGTCTCCCCAAAGTCCACGCACACACGGTTAAGTTCCGTTTGCAGCATCTGGCGCATGGAACAAAAGTTACCCATGAACTGGTGGCGTTCGATGAAGCCTGTGGGCCGCGCACCCCGATCCGGTTTTCAACGCCAGTTGTTGGAAATTTACGATCGCCAGCTGTTCGAATTCAGTTTGGACTAACTCCACGCACACACGGTACGTCGCTTTGGCGGCATGTGCCGCATGGAACAAAAGTTGTCCATGAACTGGCATTCGATAAGCCTGTGGGTCGCACCCAGATCAGGGGGTCGACGCCAGTTGTTGGAATTCTACGATCACCAGCTATTAGAATTCTATGATGGGCATTTGATGGCAAGAAAAAAAAAAAAAAAAAAAAAGGAAAGAAAAGGAGGAATTCTATGATGGAATCCATTGACGGTATCGTATGCTCCCCTGACGAAGAGTGAAGATCCTCTTCGTTGGGACTGCTCCGAAGTCTTCTGCCTGAACGAGTTTTTCCATGCATTGTCAAGCTGGCTGCCATGGGACCTTCAATGATACTTAAACTGCGGGTCACCGAAAGTTTGTCCACCCATGGCCATCATGCCCCAGTTGCCAGCCCATGAAGACCGCTGGCTTACATGAGGCACCTGTTGCAGTTCCAATTGCGCCCTGAATCTGGTCCACCATTGGTCTTGGTATAATTTTCAAAGGCCAACAGGTCGGTGATCTTCCGGAGCTAAGGTGAACTGTTTCCTGCTGGGCCCAGCAACTGCAGCTGGTGATCCCAGTGGTGCAGCGCACTTGGGTGCACTGTTTCTGGCTGGCTGAACCTGGCTGCAATCACAGCTGCTCGACCTGGTACTGCAGAGAAGTGAGGTCTGCACGCACTTTGGGCTGCCGAACGGTGCGCAGCCCATTGGCAAGGCCGAACGAGTCGATGGACTGCAAGTTTGCAGCCACCACCACCGAAGATTTACAACTTGGAACACGTCTAAAACGCTGCGACTGAAGCGAAACCAGACAGCTGTACAGCCTGTCCACTCTGCTTGCAGAAGGTCCACCTCTCTGACCTACCAAGTAGGAAACGCAAACCCCACAGGTCTCCTCGTGCTGCAACATAACAGTCTGCAGCAAAACTGTGGATTGCTGCAATAGCGATGAAACCCACATACGTTTGCGCCTTCGCAAAGAGGGAGCTGAACATCGCAACGCCACCCCTAGACCAATCCATCCACCATCAAACTGAGTCACGCTGCGATGTTTCCTGCAGTAAAAAGGCTTCGCAAAGAGTGCTGCTCCGCACCCGGCCCACCAAATCTCTGTCTTGGCCTCTTCCTCCGCTCTGCGCAGCAACCACTTCGATCTCCCCTTTACAATCCCCTCCTCTTCTTCCTTCCCAAGCTGCTCCTTCTCTGCCTGGTCTTCTACAACCTTCTGTTCGACTTGCTGGAGTGTCAGCCTACGTAGACAAGTCGAGGGTACCCTCCCTGTTGCTGTGCCAACTCAAAGGAAGAGGCCTTTTTTTGACATGACACTGCTGACAGACATGTCACTGATGATATGGCACTGCTCAACGACATGCCACTCATGACATGGCACTGATGGTGTGGCACTGCTAACAGACATGCCACTGATGAAATGGCACTGATGGTGTGGCACTGCTAACAGACATGCCACTGATGAAATGGCACTCCACACTGAGACTGCATTGATGATGTGGCACTGCACACGCATGTGGCACTGATGAGGTGGAGGTGCTGAAAATGGCACCCTACTTAGCACTCACCAGCTATGGAGGAAAGACGAAAAAGATCGATGACGGAGACGAAGTAGAGTGGGAGGTAAGAACAAGTCCAATCAATGGGACAGCACCTCCCACCGCCATATGGGAGCAAAAATTTCCTCAAGAAGATGCCGGAGCGGCTGCGGGGGCTAATCAATCAAGCGCAAAGAAACAAGCAAATAAAACAAACTTAGCAATCACAGTTTCTGACAAAGATTCAAGACCGCTTGACACATGAATTAAAGTTGAAACTTGACAGACAACAGCTAAAAAACTCAGGAATTTGTTCCACGTTACGTTGAAATCAATCCATAGGAATATCTGAAAGCTTTGGCTACCTTCTTCACCCGAATGGTTCATGCCAACCACCGTGGCGAGTGCTGGACTGAGAGCCCATGGCTGGCCCTGTACATGACCCCTACCATCCACATCACCCTCTGCCCTATTCGCAGCCAAGGGTATCCTGATCCCTGATGTTACGATCTTGCTGCCTTTGCGATTTACGGTGCAGGTGTGCTTTCAGTAAGCGGACAGTTGTGTGGTGGGCTGCTGGGCATTTCCCACTCGACCACCTGTGCCTATTGGCAACCCTGCCACGTCCAAAGGGAGGAAAGGGTGGGGCGGGGAAGAGAGAAAGGGAAGTACAAATAAAGAGGAAGGGACGGAAAGCACAAATGAAGAACAAGGCGAAAGAAAGGAAAACCTAACAAAAAACTTGAAAAAAAAAGGTCAAAAAAAAAACTACAAACGAGAATCGCTTCCTTTCACCTCGCACTCTGCCCTTCGCCCCTCTGCCTGCTGAATCTTTCGCTGTGTTCTATTCTCTTCCTCTGTTTTCACTTTTCAGATGTGCTCTGCAATAAACAGTCGTTTTACAACACGATTCCATAGACTTATGTGTGTATCCATGTATGCATGCATGTATGTCTACGTGCATATTTTTATGTATGTATGTATGTATGTATGTATCCATGTATGCATGCATGTATGTCTACGTGCATATTTTTATGTATGTATGTATGTATGTATGTATGTATGTATGTATGCACGGATGTATGTACGTATGTCTACATGCATATTTTTATGTATCTCTACATGCATGATTTTATGTATGAGTGTATGTACGGATGTGCATGTATGTATGTATGTATGTATGTATGTATGTATGTATGTACGTATGTATGTATATATGTATGTACGTATGTCTACATGCATGTATGTATATGTGTGTGTGTTGAAAGCTGTCACCACACCAACCCCTTTTCCACCCAGATGAGTAGATCCGAAATTGAAACAGTTTTTTTCCCTTAAGATCTTCTATGGCAGACCACATGAAGCACACTGAAACGGTTGTATTGCTGTTTCCTTGTGCAATGTGCAGTCCTTTCTTTGTTTTCCTTACTTCGGCTTTTTTTTGGAATTTCTCCTTTGTTTCCTCTTGCGGCTCCCCTTTTACTGTGCCTCTCACGTACAAGGCTCACCACGTTGATGTGGTTGGGCACAAGCTGCTCTCATTCCCGTGTGCCATTAAGGGCCCACTTGCACGCTATGAAAAGGAGGCAGAGTAAAGGGGGCGATACACTCCTGTTCGTTTTTCAGCACACTTTCACCTCATATGTTGTCTTTGTCACTTACTGATGCTCATTCGTATGCATTTGGTAGTGCTACACAAAAGGGAGAGAGGAAGGAAAAGGAAACGGGAGGGCGAAATTCCGCACGATGGAGGGAGAAGGGTGAGCGCAGCGGAGAGACAAAGAAACAGATCGGAGAAAAGAAACTTAACAAGGTTCTTGAGTGCTCACCGCCAGAGCAGGCTACCATGGAATGGCACAAGAGGCCAGTCAATGCTTGCGTTGCAGAGATAATGGAGTTGAGGAGCAGGCGCGGCCTCCGGTCAGTAGCTACCAACCTTTGCAGACCAGAACAGGACCGGTTAGAGCGTGGACTGTGGAAGCACCCACCGCATTCAGTTCTGGCAATTGCAGTGCCTCCATCGAATGGAGGCCGCATAGAAAGACGCCACAGGCAATCTGGCTCCTACGTGCTACAAACACAGACGCCCGCCACCCGCTATTGAATAGGCATATATTGCCCTTCCAGCCCCTGTCTAAAAATAGCACAGGACCATGCCAGGGTGTGTGGCACATGAATAAAATGTTGACTGTCATCATACCTACGAACACAAAAGACTTGCATGGCCTTCTATACCTTCAGAATCCTCACAACAAACACAAAGCACACGAGTCCCATGCCGGCCTACTCTCAGGTGGGTCATCACAGTGCTGCATTGAGCAAGTTGCTTAGGTTTCCACCAGCCGACATTCACTCTCCCCTTCTATGGGCCCACAGCCATGACGAGACCTGATCCAAAGTAAGGGTGTTTATCTGTTGCAAGATCTGGTCTGCCACGGCGAGTAAGGGTGTTTAGCTGTTGCAAGATCTGGTCTGCAAGAGCTCACAGTGGCGGCGACAAACTTTCAGTACGGTGCACTGTAGGTAGTTCATGTGAGAGTCATCCACCTCATCCTGCTGCATATGTTGCTCATCTCGCAGGGATGGAGTGGAGTGGCCCAGCGATGAAGGGACCTGATCCGAAGTAAGGGGGGTGTTTAGCTGTTGCAAGATCTGGTCTGCAACACAGCTCGCCGTGACCGCGACAAACTTTCAGTAGGGTGCACTGTGTAGGTGGTTCATCTGAGAGTCATCCACCTCAGGCTGCTGCGTCTGTTCCTCCTCTCACAAGGATGGACGGGGTCCATCCGTCCCCTGAAGGGGGCCCACTAAGGATGGAGGGGGTCCACCGTCCTCTGAAGGGGCACCCCTCACTATCCACCGCAAAATCCGCCCGATCTGCACAGCCCAGGGATGCACCTGGTCAAGTGGGGGAAGAAGGGGGCGACGGTAAGCGGGTTTGTCCTCCGGAGGTTGTAGACCTTGCGAGTGCATATCCCACATACCCTTCCTCATCGACAGGCCAGAGCGAGAGGGGATTCTGTCACTCAATGAGAGTCTAAGGGCCTCGCCACACCACGGTCGACACGGAAAAAGTAACGAGTGCATCTAGCCTCTGAGAACGGCAAGATGCATCCGGGACTATGAATAGCAGCAGATGCACCTTACCTATTTCTGTGGAAGATACATTCATCATTGTGAATAGCAACGGGTGCATCTTACCACTCTCTGGGCAAGATACATTCGTTCTTTATTCGTTTCGAGAGTGGTGTGGCGAGGCCCTTAATCCGCAAAGGAAGGTGACGATTATAACTGAGATGACCCGGGGCCAAGTCCCACTGGCAGCGTTGAGTTTCCTCAACGCCCGAATGTGGACGTGTTTGTGGAGAGGTGCAGAAAATCGCGTTGAGTTTCCTCAACTGCACATCTCCACAAACACGTCCAGATGCGGGCGTTGAGGAAAAACTCAACGTTGCCAGTGGGACTTGGCCCCCGGGCGACGGAGAATGTACGCACGTGCAGTGGCTGACTGCCCCAGCAGCTCAATGCGCGTACTATTCTTTCGTCTTCGACTAAAGAATACCGTGGGCTGAGCACACATACGCAGCTTACCTGATTATTTTTAATTAAAAAAGCTATATTGTTCTCTCGATTTCACCTCACACTACCTACCAACCACTACTCCTAATTGCAATGAGGTGAATTTTTTTATTTATTTTTAAATAAAAAGAAGCTATTTTTAATGTGGCCTCCAGACTGGTCTGGTAGGCATACGGGGAAACCCATAGGCCTACCAGACCAGTCTGGAGGCCACATTAAAATAAATAAATGAATAAAAATGTGCGCAGGTCCATGTCAGGGGTACACAGTAATTCCGCAGAGCGGGCGGGCTGGAGTTGAGGTCGTCTTCCCAAAGATGCCCTACCCGTCTTCCCTCGAACACAACGCACCCTCATTATGAATGAATACATGAATGAATACAATCAATCTTTCCAGTCCGATGCAGTCATAGTGAGGGTGCGTTGTGTTCGGGGGAAGACGGTAGACAGCATTTCTACATTCACACCAGCAGCAGTCCTGTCATCCTCTGCGCAGACAGCACGGTGCTCAGCTTCTATCCAGTGGACAATAGGCCTTGTTCCACTACTGAACATTCGACATGCACGTGCCCTGTATCATCGCCCAGATGCATTCCAACCGATCGAATATTTTGAATGTATATGGGGACCATTACCAGCTCCGAATGCATTTCGAATGTTGTGCAGTGGAGCGAGGCCGAATGTCTGCAATATCAAAAACAGTATTGGGGTTGCTACACTACCTCCTGTCTTCACCCGAATACAACGTACGGTCATTATCACTGTATCTAGACGCAAAGTCGCCCCACATACAGCTATAATGACCGTACGTTGTATTCGGGTGAAGACTGTACTACCCGAGGGGCGCCACAAATTAATGGCATAGTACGCACATTGGCCTCGCTGAAGCACTATAGAGGGCATACTCGCTCTAGGAGTTTTTTTACAAAGCTCTGGACGCGATTCCAGTCAGATTCATTCAGGTGTGGCCGTAATTGTAGTCAGATGCATTTCGGAAATGCCAGTGTGAGCATGCCCTGAAATCATCTTTTGCAGTGTCTGCATGTATGCATGAATGCATCTGTCTCCATGCATGATTTTATGTATGTATGTATGTATGTATGTATGTATGTATGTGTGCATGTGTACGTACGTATGTACGAATGCAGTGCATGCATGTATCACATCTTTTTGCAGTGCATGCATGTATGCATGTGTACGGACGTGTGTACGGATGTATGTCTAGCGAACTATGTATGTATGTGTGTGCATGTATGCAGGAGCGCGATGTTCACATCTTTTGCAGTGCATGCATGTATGCATGTGTACGGACGTATGTACGGATGTATTTCTAGCGAACTATGTACGTTCTCTGTGCTCTTTGTACGCATTGTAAGCCTTAGACCTGTCGGCAAGCGCTGTACGAATGAACGTTCATGCTATCATATTCCAGGAACGAGGTCGCCCATGAGATTTCTCAGCTTTTTCGCTAAGATCAAGGGTGTATATGATACCTACGTAGTCTGTTCAATACCTGATCCCCAACATTATGACGTCGAGTTCCCATGACTCGAAGTTTCCTACACATGGCTTTCAAGCGACAAGCATCCGCCCAACCGCCACCTGGCGCGTGATCGAGGAAAGGGAGAGAAGAGGGGCGGCGTTGGAAAGTGAAGGTTTCACTGAGCAATCCTTAATGTCCTTAGTCGGTGTGTACCAGAGGTTAACCTCAATACTTTCGAGAAACCTGGAACCCTAATAGGTTTTCCTCAATATTTCCGAGCAACCTTAGCCCTAAAGGGTCCAGACAATTCCTTCACCATCGGTTTCTGAAATTGGAGGACACAGGGAAGGGGGAAGGGGGAAGGGGGAAGGGGGAAGCGGGAAGGGG